AAAAGTGCATCAAAACCAAAATTCGCAAGAAGAACTGATATTAAACACAAAAAATTTAAAAACCGTAGCATTTCTGAAAATATGCCTGGAAATCGCTTTCTGTCCAGTTCATCAGATGAGAAGAGTGCCACAAAACTAAAATATGTTAGAAGAATTGATTTGGTCAAAAACAAAAAATTAAAACATCATAGCAATATTAAAAACTATTCTGGAAAATATGCCCACTCAAGTTGTTTATCAGACACAGAAAGTGAAGAGACGAAATATTCAAGAAATACAAACTGCTACAGCAGTATTACAATTCAAGAAATAAAAAATGACAACAATTCTGACTATCCATCATCGATTAGTTCCTTCATCAGCTCGTCATCAGATGAAGAAATTGAATGCACACCGAACTCTTCAGATAGTGAAAATTGTGCACAAACTAAGACTAAAAATAAACCTGGTTGTTATAGTACTTTATCACAATTGGAAGCTTTTGCAAGTAGCTCTACCAATGAATGTGAAATGTTCACTCCGTCTTATTTCTTGCAAAACCAAACAAATAACAAACATGATCAAACATTGTCAACAAATTGTTACAACTCTTTTGAAATTATAGCAGAAAATAAAGTTCTGGAGATGGATTCCTATGATGAGAGCTACAGTTATGGTTTAAAAAGTCTGAACTCTAAATGTGATGATCAGTGTTCATGTTTTAGTGATGTTTCAAACACTCATACAAAAAGTGATAGATACTACGGTTCTTCCCCTGATGTAACAGAAGATAGCATGGATTTACCCAGCGGGAATTTCAAATTAAATTTAGAATCTTTGAACTCATTCTCTTCAAACTGTTCATATTCCAATGTCCTTGAAATAACAAAAGCCAACGATCTATCTTTAAAGATACTTAATTTAACTAATCGTTCTGAAAAGGTTTGCACATATTCTTTAACCGAGGGAAACCCAAAAGAAACGTCAGATTTATTAGAAGCTAATGAGGCACCTACAAATAACTGCAACGTAAGAAATAAACATAATTTTATTTCCACTGCAATGCAGGAAGATAATTGCGTTTTACACTCTCCCAATAACCGTAAAATATTCTGTGTCTCTGACCCATTAGGTAATGTTACAAAATATAACTCAACAATTTTACTAAAGTGGCCAACATCTTTGGGAAACGTAACAGAGAATATAAGTCAGAAAGTAGTTTTTCATATTAAAAACTGTGACATCAATAGTTCTAAAAATATAAATCAGGTTTTTGATGATTGTAATACTGATGGTATTGATGTTTCAATCACTGACACAGAAAGAGATAAGTATTATTGTTCTTCACCAGAATTTTCAGATGACAATATAAATTTTGCTAGCGAAAACTTCAAAATACAACTTGAACCTTTAAATACGCAACCCTCAAAGAATTCATCAAGTTCTAAAGAAAATGCTGTGGAAAATGGAAGTCAGATGATGGAAAAAGGTGGTGCATTTAGAGGTACCCATGATTCCAAATACATGAAATTTACATTTGACAATGGCAGTTTGTTTGGTAAAGATACTCCAGATACAAATATTACAAACATTGAATATTTTTCTTCAACAGATTATTCACAAAATAGTAAATATTTCAGTGATAATGATGTTTCAATCACTGACAGTAAAAAGGATAAAATTTATTGTTCTTCACCCGGTTTATCAGATGACAATTTCATTAGCGAAAACTCCAAAATACAACTTGAATCTCAATGTACAATGAGTAAGAGTAAGATAATCCCAACTAAAACATTGGAATCTTCAGTTTTTAATGAAACTCCTGCAATTATCCTCAATGATAAAACTGAATGTGACATCACTACCAAAACAAGAGAAGATAGAACTGGTGTGTTTATTTCTGACGAGTGTGAAACTTTATTTTCTTCTGCATCTTTAGACAGTGGCATTGTAACACCATTGATGTCAGAAAACACAGATTCAAATAAACCTGGTGAAATAATAACAGAAAATCAAACTTCTACAACCATCCACAATGAAGAAAATAAATGTGTCATCACTACCAAAACAAGAGAAGATAGTAATGGTGTGTTTATTTCTGACGAGTGTGAAACTTTATTTTCTTCTGCGTCTTTAGACAGTGGCATTGTAACACCATTGATGTCAGAAAACACAGATTCAAATAAACCTGGTGAAATAATAACAGAAAATAAAACTTCTTCAACCATCCGCAATGAAGAAAGTGAATGTGAAATCACTACCACAACAAGAAAAGATAAAAATTGTGTGTTTCTTTCTGATGGGTGTGAAACTTTATTTTTTCCTGAATCATTAGAGAACAATATTGTAACACCATTGATGTCAGAAAACTCGGATTCAAACAAACATAGTGAAATAGTAACAGAAAATAAAACATTTGCAATCATCCAAAATGAAGAAAATAAATGTAACTTACTTACCACAACAAAAGAAGATAGAAATAAATGTGACTTATCTACCACACCAAGAGAAGATAAAACTGAATGTGACTTAACTGCCACAACAAGAGAAGATAGAAATGAATGTGACTTAACTACCACACCAAGAGAAGATAAAACAGAATGTGACTTAACTGCCACAACAAGAGAAGATAGAACTGAATGTGACTTAACTGCCACAACAAGAGAAGATAGAACTGAGTGTAACTTAACTGCCACAACAAGAGAAGATAGAACTGAATGTGACTTAACTGCCACAACAAGAGAAGATAGAACTGAGTGTAACTTAACTGCCACAACAAGAGAAGATAGAACTGAATGTGACTTAACTGTCACAACAAGAGAAGATAAAACTGAATGTGACTTAACTGCCACAACAAGAGAAGATAAAACTAAATATGACTTAACTGTCACAACAAGAGAAGATAAAACTGAATGTGACTTAACTACCACAACAAGAAAAGATAAAACTGAATGTGACTTAACTGCCACAACAAGAGAAGATAGAACTGAATGTGACTTAACTACCATGGCAAGAGAAGATAGAACTGAATGTGACTTAACTGCCACAACAAGAGAAGATAGAAATGAATGTAACTTAACTGCCACAACAAGAGAAGATAGAACTGAATGTGACTTAACTACCACAACAAGAGAAGATAAAACTGAATGTGACTTAACTGCCACAACAAGAGAAGATAGAACTGAATGTGACTTAACTACCACGGTAAGAGAAGATAGAACTGAATGTGACTTATCTAACACGGCAAGAGAAGATAGAACTGAGTGTAACTTAACTCCCACAACAAGAGAAGATAGAACTAAATATGACTTAACTGCCACAACAAGAGAAGATAGAACTGAATGTGACTTAACTACCGCATCAAGAGAAGATAACTCTGTTTTGTTCATTTCTAATGATAGTGAAACTTTATTTTCTCCTGAACCTTTAGACAATAACACTGTAACACCATTGGTGTCAGAAACCTCAGATTCAAGTGAACCGTATGAATTAATAACAGGCAAAAAAATGGATTTAATTGCAGATTTTAGTAATTTTAATGGTTCCTCCTGGCCAAATAGTAATCGTTTTTGCTGTACTCATCGTGTACATGATTGCGATATTTCAAACACCAACACAAAAAGAGCTTGTTGTACTTTGCCAGATGACAATGTGAACTTCAAAACAAAATTTAAACCTTTAAATACACAACTCTCAAAGAATTTGTCAAATTTAAATGAACATTTTGCAGGAAATGAAGATCAGATTATGTCAGTTCATAGTGCTATTAGTAATATCCATGATTCAGATGATACAAAATCAGCCTTGGTTCGTAATATTTTATCTCTTAATGATTATACCAATAATACTGGAATCAAAAATATAAAAAATTGCTTTTCAACTGATGGTTTACAGAATCAAATGGATTCAAGTAAGGAATTATTTAGTTCAAAAGAAGTATGTGAAATGAGTAAAAATATGGGCAAAACTAGAGAAATACCACAGTTTATGGCCGATAACAATGACTCTTTTACAAATATCGGTAAAAAGAGAAATCAAGATTATTCCATCACCTCTGTAGGAAGAGAATCTTCAAAATTTAATGACAGCTCACTTAATGACAGTGTAACTTTCTTTTCTTCTGACGATGAATTATTTAAAATTGACATAGATAATATTATAGAAAAACTGTCAACAAGTTCAAACTCTAGTACTAATTCCTTTGAAAATATAGAAGAAAATAAAAATCTGAAATCGGAAGTTTATGACAAATTGAGAAATACTAATGTTTCGACAAACACTGACGCTGCCTGCGACCATGATAGTTTGGATGATATTGAAGTTATAAATTCTGAAGTTGAAATTGTAGGGTTTTGTTCAAGTGAATGTTTAGCAAATGGCTTAGCCTTTAGTGGTGATAAAGTTGAAATCAATTGCCTCCTTTCAAGTACTCAATCTACAAATAGTGGTTTATTTGGGTAAGCTGTAATTTATTATTGTAAGTGTTGATTTAGTTTATAATGATTGATGATTAGCCTATTGTCTTATTCTTGAGAATTATTTATCCTTGGATGACAAGGGTAAAGCATTCTCTCGGTCTTAACAGACATAGGACTTAGTATTTATGTAGTATTGTTTAGATTATACTTTAAAGTAAAGCCAAATGGCTGATTAGGATTGTTTTTGAAAAAGGAAAGCGTTCTCACTTGATAAAATTGGGGTCCAGGTAATAGATTCACAAACATTCACAAAACACTAATATTTTTTCTTCAAAAAGTATATTAAATGAAAATACTATATCTTCAAATTTAATTCTATCGAAAAAAAGCTTTCAATGATAAGATACACAAGTTTAATAGGTATAGGTGTTCTTTTGTGTGTCACAATAAAACTAACTATAATTTTTTCAGTAAAATGGTGCAAGTCCTTCTCATCACTAAGTACCTAGCTAACATTTTATGGCCTATAATTTTAATTTATTAACTGACAACTTATAAATTGTCAGAGAAATTTTAAAAACTTTATGTTTATGTGTGTTTTAGGAGATCAGAAAGAAAGCGTAAAGCACTTACAGAAGACTCTGAAGCTACAACTTCAAAAGTCCGCCATGTTTCCACTCATGACGGTGATGTATGTTAATCCTATTTTTTCCTTGGCCCTTTTGATTCCAGCAATACCTTTTGAGTCATATTCTATTGTACCTAATAGTTCTTTCAACTAAAGTACATTAAAGTTGGTCTATGATTATAAATGTTTTGAACTCCTGTTATACTATACACTGTTAGATAAGCTCATCTTTTTAAAACCATATTTTATGATTGAATCATTTTGTTTGCTGGAAAAACGTTTTAGTTATTGTGCTAACCAAATAGACTCGGTGGGTGGTGTAACTAAAAAAGGCTAAATATTGTATTGTGCAAAATATAATTTGCCAAATTATTTTCAGTAAAACTGATTGTTCTGTATTCTAATATTAACTCCTTGAAAAGTTTTGAAAAAAATATTAATGATAGATTGCCAATGAAATGAAAAGAAAATAATGTAGGTAAACATATTATGCTTAATTTTGTCTCCTGAAGGTGGATTTAATGAATCCTTTTTAATTCATTTCTTTATAATCTTAGTTCAGGATTCATTTTAACAGCTTAATTTTTTTACAGGAAGAGAGGAAGTTTCATGTTTCAAAAAATTTGGCAGAAACCAAAAGTACCAGTTCAAATGATGTATACTTTCAGAGAAATTTACGTTCCCCGCCAAAAAGTCCTGCTGTGAAGAATTTGTTCCCAGAAAAAAATTCTAACAAACTAAACAACTGTAGAACTCCGACCAAGCTGACCGAGGAAGATCTGAGCAATAAAGAAAATAAGAGTTTATGTTCAGAGCAGTCCAAAGGAGATTCGACTCCACGGAAAATCGGGACTAGACGATCTCTGTGTTTTCAAGAAGGTTACAACTCTGAGAGTCAAGCTACAGAGAAATCAACCCCTCTTAAGCAGGCTCAAACTCCAACAAAAGAAAATAAAAATTCAAGCAGGAAACAGGAACAAAATACAACTCCTAGAAAAAATGAAGAAGACTTAAGAGATTTAAAAGAAAGTCAGATATTAAATGAGTTATCACCAACAAAATCTAGATGTGAGAATCTTTCGCCTTACAAAAGACCTACAAAAAGTGTGTCAAAGACTTTAAATGATGAATCAAATGAAACTGTCACAGACACAGGAACTCCGACAAAAACACAAACTGCAGAATTGAAGCGCTTGAATATAGATTGTAACCCTTCTATGATCAATGCTGCTTCACCGGTACGTCAAAGTAGATCCAGTTACAATACAAGAACACCTTTGAAAAATAACATTGGTGGTGAGAATGAAGTGAAGAGCCCTAAAAAAATATCATTAAAGCTAAAAAGATGTGTTAGTGACAATGATTCAGAAGATAATTCTATTACTAAAATAAAAGAAAGGACCGAAACTCCTTCATCCAGCAAGAAATTAAACAGAGCTTCCAAGTTGAGCTCAAATGAGATTGAAGATATAAACTCAACCTCTAGAACTCCAGAAAAATCCAAAATTGATCGAGAGATGAAGCGTTTAGTTATAGACTGTAAATCGGCGATATTTGCTGCTTCACCAGTTCGCCAAAGAAGGGCTAGTGGGTCAAGGACAGCAACACCACAAAAATCTAAAATTTCCGACAGTTTAAAAACTCCTAAAAAATGTTCAGAAGACTTAAGTGACGATGCTGAATGTGTCACGCCACGGGGAAAAGATAAAGTTGCCACCATGACGCCTCGATCGAAAGCCTTGAAATTTGAATATCGTAACCAAAGTACTATGTCACCATTTCCTAGGCAAAGTGTCACTGTTACTACACCAGTTTCCAAGAAGGTAAGTCAATTTTTTTGCTTGGATTTATATAGTAGCCTATATTACTTTGAACATTTGAATTTATTGTATGTCAGTATGTCTTCAAATGTAATTTTATCATTACACTCTTTAGTTTACCACTAGTTTAGTTTCCAGTTTCCACTAACTTCAGCATCAACATCCTGTATCACTTTTACATTTAAATTTTATCTTAACATAACATGTTTTCAGTTGAAATATTTTGAATTGGTTCCCTTTTTTTCAACTTGTTTTGAAGATATTAGCATGTGTCTTTCATTCACAGAAAACCCCTTTTTTCAGAAATCAGGAAGAGGATTTTTAACTCCCTCAATGGCAAAGAAGGAACATGTTAGAAAAGAAATAAAAGATGATGATTTGGACACTACAAGAAAACAACTTCACATATCAACGGTGCCAAAGTCTTTACCCTGCAGGGATGCTGAATTTGACCAGATCAAGTCTTTTCTACTCAGAAAAATTGAACATTCTGCTGGAGGGTAAATAATATCTGTATAAAAAATATAAGTGTCAATTCACTACTAAAAATATGGCATTAACCTCACCAAATATGTACTAGTCATTAGGGTGATCCAAATACAGTGAAACCATTATATTTCAAGTCACATAAGCAAGACAGTAGTAATTGCAGGGATACGATCAAACAATTTCAAATAACAAGACCTTTATATGTTCAGGAGGAAACATATAAATACATATCAATTTATATCAGTTATTTATATCAGTTCGTTAAATAATAGATTGGTCTTAAATAAGATAGTCTTTAAATTATAAAAAGTGTTGCTAGGATAGCGGGATTACCAGAATGAGGAAGAGTCCATCATGGCACGAGAAAAAAAAATACAGTATACTGTACACAATAGTTAGTCATTGACACCAAGGATGGTTTGAGGTAGGGAAGAGTTAGCATGTGTTATTAGCATAGTTGTTAGTGTCTCAGACTTAAATACAAGAGGGGATGAATATCAAAACATAATTGAGAGGTTTTTGGACCACTTTCCCTCAAAAACGTTATTATCTTAGTTGCTTTTCTTTCGACTCCAGTGGCAGGACCCCTTTTCGAACCAGATAAGCCAGATATCCATTAAAATCTCCTTTAAACCTACGGCTTCTCACATTTTTTACACCAAATTGTTTTGTGGACTGAACCTTGAAATTGATAAGCTATTTGGCTGAACATTATTGAAAATAACACACTGATAGTATTACTTGTAAAAAAAAATAGTGTAATTAAAAATTCATGCTTTTTGTTTTCTTATTAACTAGTGTACCTGTTGCTCGAATTCGAGCAATTGCAAAGCATTACAGGCGTTATTTTAAAACGAATAACAGTCATAATTTCCGATGACTTTATAAGAGTCGACTCAAAGATTATGGAAATACTCAAGATGTACACAGCAGTTAGATATAATCAAAATTTTTGTAAATATCTTACCTTTTCTCAAAAGCTGACTTTGTTTTCTACAAATTTTCCCTACTTATATCTGCTTTAGGTTGTCTATAATGACGATTATAAATGAAAAAACAAACAAACATTATTTCTATTTCTTCTACACTGTACTTGGTTGTGTTCTATTACTTTCCTGTTTCTATTGTTTGCAAATCGGCTCTTTCAATTATTGCTCAAGAAATGTAGCACAGTGTTAATTCAGTTTTATTTTGAGTATATCAAATTGTCCAGTATTTCTCACTTAAAGAAATTACCACGTTTCTCTTTTGATGGCTCATCTACAGACCAAGACCTTTCTTCAGAGACCCCTACCGAGTTTCTACACCCAGCCGTCCTCACAAATTAGCTGTTACAAAGAAAAACAGTTTCAAATTAATTTATAGATATTTAACAGAGATTTTTATTAAGGATTTCTACATTCCAAATTTTTGTCCTAGAACTCTCACTTTACTATCTACTACCTTTAGCACACAAGTAAACCACATTACCATTGCAGGTGCATGTATATCAGTGGGGTCCCTGGTACAGGTAAGACTGCCACTGTCCACGCTGTTGTTCGTAATCTACAACAAGAGGCAGATTGTGGAAATCTTCCTGACTTTGATGTGAGTTTGATTGATTTTTGTAACACTATTTCATGATTGTCGCTTACCCCTTCGGGAATAGAAATACTGGCTACCATTATGTATCAAGGGTTAAGTTTATGTGGCAAAATCTCTTGAATTTATTACCTATGAATTGGTTGATTTACATACCTAACCTATGTAAACAATTGTGCATGTGTCTTGTTAAGATTTTGCCATTTATTTTGAAAAATACAAATATCTCATCCTTTAGTAATACCACCTCTACTATTGAGCAAATTTCAATTCCTCCTGAACTTCTTTGGATGTTGAATTGCTTGGTTACATATTTCTTTGTACAGTCCAACCTCAGTATAACGAATCTGAAGGGACCGAACTGAATATTCGTTATATCAAGGATTTCGTTAAAGCGAGGTTCGTTATATAGAGGTTATGTTTGCAGGAATTTCGCTAAGTCGAGGTTCAGAGCCAGCGTCGGTCAATATAGGTCGGGATTAGACATCATTAAAACACAATTAAAGTAGCATAGGCTAAAATACTTTACAGTACAGTGTTTACATTGTACAGTAGAACCTAAATTATCCGGCATAATAAAGGGGAGGGATCTTGAATATTGCGCAATCATGAAAATGGCATTGACCTTGGTACAGGTTAAAAACTGTAAGTTTAAAATCACAGCTTGTTCTAACCCTCCTAAAACCTAGCCAAACACTGTATTGCGTAGTCATAAACCATGTAAAGAACAAAACAAAACAGTAGTAGAAAGTTTCGTAAGCTACTGCTCGTGATAGGCCAGTAGGCTACTTACAGTACATTACTGATTTATCACAACAGAGGAATGTCAATAATAATCATTAACTATAGCATTGGTGTTGCTAGTTGAAACAAATCGTATTGAAAACAATAAATTAAGATAAGTCATTATAAAAGTGTATAATCATAGCCAACTTAAAGATAATAAAAACACTCGAAAAAGGAATGTTAAAATTACGATGTTGCTATTCTTTCTCTTTGGTTTTGTTTTTATATTCTTTCTTAGGTTTCTCTTTATTTAAAAATTGTACAATTCCCCATAGTTACTTATCGCCCAATCACAGCTTACTAAACAATACGTCGTCATCAGTCCTCAGTGAATGTTCTCAGTTGCAACATTGCGCGCGCAGCGACAGCAGACAAAGATGTAAACCGGAGCAGACGAATGTTAGCAAAAGCGATGACGTCACCTTTCCATTTCATTTGATAAAGAAACAGATTTTTAAAAAACAATAATGGGGTGGGCGATTTGTTATATCGAGGGAAAGACGTAGACAATTCGTTATGCAGAGGTTAAATTCGCAATGTAGAGGTTCTGACAATGATAAATTCGCTATATTGAGGTGTCTTATTTTAGCCGAAATCATGAAAAATTCGTTAAATCAAGGTCGTTGTTATGGTTTGTTCGTTATGTAGAGGTAAAATATACATTGTGTCTTATGGAGGGTTCTAGGGGATTTAAAAAAATTCGTTATATCAAGGAATTCGTTGTATCGAGGTTCGTTATATCAAGGTTAGACTGTAATAAGTGTATTCGTCTGTTATTATTACTGCTTATACAAAGGACTAAAAATGGAAGTAGATTTAGTTTTAGAACTAGACTACCACCAGCTAGCTCTTCTTTTTATTTAATTTCCTATTGCCCTCCAGATTTTCCTTTGCCTTTCTCTTCTCTGATGTTCCTGAGAGATTCGGCCCAGATTCTCTTTTCATGTCATCCTGTACTTTCCATGTCATACTTTCTATGGAGAGTATGACCTACCCATCTTTTTAACATGAGAATCAAAGATTTCTTCTGTTCCTAAACTCTTCTGTTGGCACAGTTTGTGGAAGTGAACGGCCTGAGGTTGACCGAGCCTAAACAGGCGTATGTCCGTATCCTGCAGGCGCTCACGGACAGGAAGTTGAGTCCTGATCAGGCGCAGCAGGTGCTCAATAGGAGATTCTCCAACAACTGCAAGAAGTCCACAATAATCCTCGTAGACGAGGTGAGAAATAGTTGCTTTATAACATAAATAAGAATGTAAATACTTCATTGTTGCTATCATATTACAAGAATTACAGTGTAGCAACTTAATCTAATTTACAAGATTGTATGCAAGATGTTGAAAATATTCTGATTAACTGGGTAGCTGAGTAGAGATTATTGATAAGAATGAGAATTCTTCATTCCGTTACCAGATTACAATAATGATAGTGTCCCAATATATTTTTCCTACAGTTACCTAACAATGTACATGTTCTCTCACTGATTTGAGAAAGCAAAGTGGCCAATTCGCTCATCAGTGAGACAATGTTAACATTGTCTCACTCTAATTACTTTGTCTCACTCCAGATTTGCAACGTGAAGGCACGAAATAGTGAGCGCGTAACATGCAGGCAACGTCGTATGCGCACGAAATACGTTGGCAGCACTGGCTGTAAATCAGCTGGTCAGCTGTTGTACTGTTGTATTTGTCACTTAACATTAAATGTTAAAGTTCACTTCTGTGTAAAAATAGGTTATGTTTCTTCACCAATTTATTTGTTTTATGGTAACTGTAGGAAAAGTATAATGTGCAACTCGAGTTCAAAGTACAATTGCCTCACTCGAGAAACCATTCCTCACTCGCCTACGGCTCGTGAGTAAGGATTTCTCTCAAGTGAGTCAATTGCTCACTTTTCTCACTAGTTGCACAAATAACTATTATCTGTTTGACAAGAATTTTAAAAGCTTGACTAGCGGTGCGTGTTATTTTACGGTATAGAATAAATAATACTATTGTCTAAAGTTTCACTTATTTCCTTGGAAATAGATTACCAAGAATACCTGTTTGAACGAGCAGGAAAATAACTGTCATGCCTATCATGACTATGTCAACTACTAGCATCACAAACTAATAGTACCTTGATAATAGGTTACTGAGAATATAATATTTTTTTAACATTATCCAAACTGTTTGAAAGAGTAAATTAAATGTAACAATCCTGCTGATCACGTCTTCCTATTAACAGTGAGTACTATTAAATAAATATAACCTTGGTACCTAATAGATTACTGAAAATACTAAATTATTTGTGTAATGTCATCTGAACTGTTGATAAAGCAAGTTAAATAACCCTGATCATTTTCCTTTAACAGCGATCGGCTGAAATGTACCGAACCAGGAAGTAATAGGGTTCAAAAATAATATTATTTTTTTACTTATTACCGAAAAGCTAAGGAACTTGAATTATTGCAAAGTATTGATAATCCCATCTCTAAGTTCGACAGACTGACAACATATGCTAATTAGCTCTGGGTATCCAAGTCAAAAGGATCATAAAAAAATGCAGTAGCCTAGTTTTTTGTTGTTACCAAAACATAAATCTGGCTAATTGTCTGTTTTTCTAAGTCTGTAAGTTTTTTTATTTATTTATCACATTTTAATCCATTCCTAGCTGGATTACCTGTGTAACCGCAGACAAGACGTGGTGTACAACATATTGGACTGGCCGACCAAGCGGGGCTCTGCGCTCGTCGTCCTCACCATCTCCAACACCATGGATCTGCCCGAGCGGACACTCAAGGGGCGCGTGACGTCACGCATGGGCCTGACCAGAGTCACGTTCCAACCGTACAGTCACCACCAGCTGCGGACGATCGTGCAGGACAGGCTCAGCGGAACGGATACTTTCCACCCGGACGCTGTCCAACTAGTGGCCAGGTAACTAGAGCCCAAGTGTCTAGGTTTATTTATGAGGATAGCAGGCGTATCTGAATGGGAAAGAGTTCAAACTGGCACAACAAACACAACACTTAACACTACACAAAACATTAGAATATGTAACTGTCATTGAAATGAATTAAATAAAATGAAATCAAAGAAAATGTTTATGCACCTATAATGTCTACAAAAACTGTAATTTCTGACTGTCACAATCACTGACAGGACTTACAACTGTGGAAGGTATGAGTTCAATATTCAATCACTATTCAAGAGAGGGTGAAGTTTTCTTTTTGCTATTGCCTAAACCAGTATCATTGTTAAAGAAAGTATGACAAACACTTTATGTAGTCCAAACCCTTTGTAATCACTCAGGGATCCAACCCGACTCTCTCACCAATAGTCTGAGACTCATACCAGAAACATTGAAACACGCCTATTAAAGCTACAAAACTGGTCTTTTCATTGTTGTTAAGGTTGTGTTGTGCCAATGTTATCTCTATCAAGAGCAGTTTCTGAAATGTTTGAACTAAAAGTATAAAATTTTGTTAAGGTCAAGTGCTTTTTTTGTTTGAAACTCCAAGGCGCTGACTACTAATCTAGCAACACACCTTTAACATGTTTTTGACATAGTATTAGGTTTGTACTTGCTTATCCTTTGATCAGGTACTGATTTCAAAACAACTCAAATCATGAATGTTGCTGCTCGTTTCTCATAGTTACTTTACTTGTGTTCCCAACAGACTTGTTCAAAATAAAATAAATATTAATGTTCAAGATGAGAAGAAAAGGTGATAAAATATGCATTGTTCAAATCACTAAATAATCAATTGTCAACAGTTCAAATAGCATTATCTCACTATCATTTACATTAGACCTTAAACAAATAACATTTGAATCATTTGATAGAGTTATTATGGTTTCACTATTGTCTGCAGGAAAGTTGCCGCTGTGTCGGGAGATGCTCGGCGTGCTCTCGACATCTGTCGGAGAACTACAGAGCTGGTGGATAGTGGAGAACAGGTAAATCAATATGTTTTAGACAAATAAATGTATGCTATCTGCCATATTTTGAGACAACATAATGGTACAGTAAAATCTCTCAATCTTAGCACCCAATAACCTTGAAGCCCAGATTTATTGACAAGTCTGGTTTGTACACTACTTCCTTGAAATTCTACACCGGTGATGATTAGCATTGTGCAAGCTACCCTGGTGAGTTCTACTGAACTCAGTAGCTTAATAGTTACATAGTACGTTGTCTTTGCCATTTTAATTTTGTGGAACTTACAAAAATTGAGATTGGAACATTTGAATCATGCTTACTTGAAGACCAGAGTTCATCAGTCTATCAGACGGCTCCATTATCTTTTACTATAGTCTTTTATCTCCTGAACTCCTTCTGAGCTCATGACATGACTGACTGAAAAACCTAGAGCTCAAGAAATTCCACAGAAAAACCATAATGGCCTTTTCTGAAGCTGAGGCTGCATTTTCCGACTTGTCAACCATATCCCTTCTATCCTCACCAGATCTGTTCACTGGATTATCCAAGTCTTACCAAGCATCTCGTTTCCTAGGTGACTGTGTCGCATGTAGAACGGGCCCTCACCCAGATCTTCTCAGGCCCGAGAGTCGCAGTTATTCAGAGTCTCTGTCGTGAAGGGCAGCTGGTGTTGCGAGCGATACGCGACGTCAACCAACGGACGGGCGTTGATGAAGCCAGTGCGTCGCAGGTTTACCAACATCTGCTCGAGATCTGTATTGTGGATGGTAAGTGTATAGTACTATATTGTCTACCACTTCAAGATACCACTTTTTCAACCTAAGTATATTATGAAACCAAAGGTGTACTATTACTCCAGATCGATAATCACTATTAATGTTTCAGGGTGTCCTCGTCCTACAGTAGGATCAATGCTGCAAATGTGTGTAGCCCTAGTCGCTCTCGGACTCATCGTAGCGGAGAAGGGAAGGATGGACATCATGCGGAAAATGTCCCTCAACGTCAGCTCGGACGATATCCACTACGCTCTTGACAAAGTCACTGTTTGAGTCTGATCGGTGATTTATTTTTTAAAGGATTTTTAAGTGTAGGCCTAGAAGGTATATTGTGGAGAGATCACTCGACGCTTGAATTATGGTCAGGTAAAATCAATGGTTTAATAATGGGTTTTCCATCACTAAATTGGTTGTTGTGAAAATGAAATTGACGCGATAATCCATAGATGGGATACAATCGAGTATTAGGTAATAGTTATGTGCCGTTGCTTTTCTTAGTTGTGATATTGTTGGCTATTAACAGATCAAGTTTGAAATTTGTCACCATTTGCAAACCCTTTTGTGCCATTTATGAAAAAAGTCAAAAGGAAAATATGTTTTGCTGATAATTTGATTGTTTGTTAGAATGTTTCAAACGGGTTTTCTGAGAGAAAATATTTTTCTATTTCCTAAGCTTTTGTGCTGCAAACGTTTTTCAGATTAACATTTTTACGAATAACATAGTAATTTTGTGAACACTAAAAAAACGGATAATAATCTTAAAAGAGTTCTCATACAAATACTTTTAGTTTATTCTAAGATTAAAATCGGCTGGCCTTTAAGACCATTTGGAGGTAATGCTAAACATATCTGTATGATTCCTGTGTAAAGTTGCAACTAAGTTTCTGATTCTGTGTTGCTTCCCAGTTTCCCACTGTAATTTTAAAAACAAAGCCAATTTTACAGATAGAGTGAGCTTTAACTATGAAACTGTTTCATGGTAGTTTTTAACAAAGGGCTAAAAGTAAATGTCCCTATAGTCTGCAACAATTTGTTAGGATGAAGGTTATACAGTAGAGTCCCGCAAACTTGGCGTAATGTGGACTGGAAGGGTGCCGAGTTTGTGAAATGCCGGGTTATCAGGAACTAGGGTTCATAATAAGAACAATAAAATCTTTAAGCTTTTTAACAGCCTTTTTTATTTATATTTATACTAGCTATTGTACCTGTGCTTCGCAAAGGAGAGTACACTGAAAGGAAAAAATTGATCTTGAATTCTGTTGTATAAAATAGTTGCACATTCCCCTTTGGTTTCAGGAACATAACTCAATTGAAACTCTTAGTTTGAAAAATATCTTTCTTTAAGGCTAGGCTAACTTATATTACAAGTAAGAATTAAGTCATCAGATATAGTACAACAAATCCTTGGTATGAGTTGCTAATGATTTGACTTGAGCTGGCTTGAGTCCATGTTTAACTCGGACTCAAAAATCACTAATTTTCTGAGCCAGGTGATGGCCGAGTTATCAAGTACCGAGTTTGCGGGACTCTACTGTAATGGTGTTTGAAATTACTATTTTGTAACTTTATTTCCAAAACTAGAAGCACATATACAGGGTGAATAAAAAGTCAAGACCCCCCCCTCTAATATTTGTCCAAGTAAATATACAGAGATATCCTTTTGGTGGTCAAGCAATCTTAGCAGGAAGTTTCATTTTATCATTTTGAAATTTTTGAGTGTCCCCCCAAAAGGGGGGATTTGGGGGGCAACTCAAATATTTTAAATGTAAACCCCCTTCCAGTGACACCTCATTTTGAAGTGTTTGCAAAAACTTAAAGAATGGTGAAAACTAGAGGTCACTATCTCTTCTCTATCCAAAATGGTAGCCCGTCAAATGTTGTGGAAAATCAAAGGTAAAATTGTTAATATTGGCTGCCATTTTGGATAGAGAAGAGATAGCGAGCTCTGGTTTTCACCATTCTTTAAGTTTGTTTAAACACTTCAAAATGAGGTGTCACTTGATAGGGGTTTCTATTGAAACATTTTTAGTTGTCCCCCGAATCCCCCCTTTTGGGGGAAACTAAAAAATTTTAAATGTAAACCCCCTTCAAGTGACACCTCATTTTGAAGTGTTTACAAAAACTTAAAGAATGGTGAAAACCAGAGCTCGCTATCTCTTCTCTATCCAAAATGGCAGCCAATATTAACAATTATACCTTTGATTTTCCACAACATTTGACGGGCTACCATTTTCGATAAAGAAGAGATAGCGACCTCTAGTTTTCACCATTCTTTAAGTTTTTGCAAACACTTCAAAATGAGGTGTCACTTGAAGGGGGTTTACATTTAAAATATTTGAGTTGCCCCCCAAATCCCCCCTTTTGGGGGGACACTCAAAAATTTCAAAATGATAAAATGAAACTTCCTGCTAAGATTGCTTGACCACCAAAAGGATATCTCTGTATATTTACTTGGAAAAATATTAGAGGGGGGGGTCTTGACTTTTTATTCACCCTGTATGCAAATTTCTGGCTGTATTTACACTTGACAATTCCCCTCTTAATATGATTTGTTTGTGGGAGGCTAAAGACTTTAAAGCCACATTTTAAAAACTTAGTTGCAACTTATTCCTGATATTCATGAGCTTCAAGCTTATTCACCTCACTACTTAATGTTTACTGTTATTCTATTTTTATAGTGATTTTTTGTCAATTTTTCATGTATTTTTATATTTAATATATTTTCTCAAACTATACTTAGATGTTTGAAAAGATTTGAGTATTATACCTTTCCTGTATCCCTTTATAAAAAAAAAACCCTAGTTGGTTGAAACTTTCAGGCATGATTAAGCATTATTTTGTGATGATTTGTGTGAAGTTTGGTGCAGATACGTCAAAAGGGCTCCGCCCCAGAGGGTTTAAGGTGTCCAATGTCAGACATTTGAAACTACAATGTTTTCAAATAAATAAAATAAATAAATAAAAGCAAGTTACCCAACAAGTGTTACTGCGCTAACAACTTTTATTTTAAATGGTAATTTGTTTGTTATGATAAATAATAAAAATGTATACCAAAAACTTATATAACTTTATATTTTAACTACAGTTACTATTAATTTTTGGTATTTCAAACACGTTTTTAGGTTAGGTTAAATCCAAACATTGAACAAAATTGGAAAAATTAAGTAAAAGCAGCAATTCTTTCTGTACTACAATCAGTGCAAGGAAGCCCACTTTGTCGGGTCACTGTAAAAAAAATACTTTGTTTCACAGTATCGTTGTAAATATCTCTTGGATCATAAAACTGAAGCAATCGACGATACTACAAGTTTATCTTCAAGTTGCATCAGTTCTCATACCCATCATTTCCATATTAATTCTAAAATATGAAATTTCAATAAAAAACTTTATATCAGGATAGCCGAATTCCAACTGCAATCTACCGGTATACAGCTAAGAACTTAATCATATTTCCTTATAATTTGATGACAATAAAACACTCAATAACATTTCTAGACACATCTTTAATTGTTTCACAATTTACATTTTGCATAGTATAATGGTAATGCATCACAAAATAAATATGGTAATATAACACAAAAGTAAAAAAATATTATCTGTAAAACAAGATCACAATAACTAAACAAAACAATTCAACTGAGAGATAGATTTCAAAAATGTGATAGAAAACTGACACATAATAACATTGAGACAACTGCATGCAATCATTGTATTGTCTTTTGTCTTAAGACACATTTTACATATTTATTACACATTAAAGGGAAAATAATGTCAGCTAAATGATATTTGACTGTTTGATAGTATTTTTTATCAATGAATTTCATAGTTTGTTGTAATCTAATTATACATATTTCGTATCTAAAATTACTTGGTATCAAATTACGTATCCAAAGTACTTTAACTGTATGAGTAGGAAAATTACGTATTACAGTTGCTTAAGATTTAAGCGTTGTTGTTTAACAATTCTACCAGTATTATTTGTCTTTTAGAGAGCACTGATACCTATTTAACTATTACTAATTATTTCACAATTACTTGAACCAATCAATGTCAAATTACAAATTACTGCCCACTCCCTGCATGGTCAATTATGTAAATTGTTTTACACATACTAAACTCTAAATTCAAGTTAACATTTCCACAGCAATAGTTAAATCAATTTACTTTCGTGGGGAAGTAGAAATTGATTAGTTTAGCCCCCCTATACATAGTAGAAAAGGGAGCTATACATAGTAAGTATGTATATGGAGTTTTTTTTTTCTGTCAAAATGTTTGAGTTTTGGTCGGAAATAATTATCAATATTATCCTGGGTCTCCCTGAACCGAAAAAATGGTTTTCGAAGTAATGTCTGTATGTGTGTATAGCTGCACACCATATCTGTTATCTGATTTTGATAAAACTTGGTATGTAACATAGGTACTATTCCATTGTATCTCCAGGTGATTTTTAGATGAGTACTGTACTCTAAAAATTCAGCTAAGCAGTAGCTAAGGGAGAGTAGAATAGCCTTAGCCTTTTCACTTTCTAGCTATATCATATTGCATACTTAATTTATTCATGGAAATAGTTGAGACCAAAGGGAGTGGTAAAGTTTATAACAAATTTAGTCTAAAACTTGTTTGATAAAACCAAAACCCTACATTTTCCAACAAACATAATACACAATTAATTAACCTTTGATATATGGAATAATTGAACATTTTCATGGTGATACATCGAAATGAAAACAATGTTTTATTATGGCGGTCTAATAAAAAAAACTATGTTGTCCACTAATTTTCCAACACTAAAAATATCTTTAGTTTATACTTCAGCTTCTTAAATATCTTTAAACTGTCTTTTAAATGTGTTTAGGTTTAGGCCAGTTATTGTTAGGTTAAGGCAATTGGCACGCTTAAAAGCACCTACGTTAGCACACTAGTTGAAAAAGGACATTCAAACAAAATTACTAATAACTACTGGAATTGTAATAGAGTAAACTACCTAAGCGTCTAAGCAAATCAAACACACTTGTTGAGACTCAAACAAAATGGTATCCTATAAAACAAAATATGTTTTATGATTGAAACACAAATTCCTAACTTCCAATTTCTTTAAACTACCAAACAGAATAATAGTTTCACTTACATTGTAAGAACAAGTAATCAAAACCGATCCGATTTAATTGATTGGGCATAAATTAACCAGATTATTAACTCAGAAAAGCTTTGAAGGCAGGTAAAAATAGCTTGCTTATAGATATAAAATGAAGTCTCATTTGCTTTATTGATAGAGTTAGTTTGATGGTTGAAAAAATGAAAAATTCAAGATAGAAAGTAGGTAAATTGTAATTCCTAAAGAGACATTTAAGACAATTGTATTCACTAACTTACAGGACGACATAAAAAAAAATATATATATGCCAATAATCAATAGTGCTTTAAATAGAATATGAACTATTATACTTTTTCGTATGAGTAGGTTTAACAACTTAATTTTCTCCTATAGTGTATAGGTTTATATTTATTTTTTAATATTTATTGTAATATCTTTTACTAAATTGACGAATATTGCTTATTATTACTGAAGGACGTCATAATTTTGAGTATGCTAATTCAAGCGCACTTGTAACTTAAATATTTTATTACATTTACATTTACCCTCAAAAGATGAACTTATTTACAAGACACTAAAAAATAAAATGGGGAAAATATCGTCATTGGAAAATAAAGTTATAGTGACTAACACACAGAAAACTAGTTAAAAATAGTTTCAGATAAGAAAAGCAAAAAAAAAAAAAAAATGCTTAACAGTAAAATAAAATAAGTCAAAACAGAAACAAGAAAGGAATGATAGAAAGTAGTAAGCATTACAACACAGCTAATCTAAAGGTAAAACACAATAAATTAAAATACATTACCCGAATCTAAACCCAATTCCCGTTGGGAAGCGTGCAACACATTTAGGCATGGAAGTGTACTTATAAAGTACAAAGTTGCTTCTCGCTGTCTTAAATACAACTATGTAAGCCAACTAGAAATACTCAACAACGCAACCTGTCTCACTTCGAATCTAGTCCGACTCAGAAGTTCCTACTAAAACATAACAACAGAAAAATAATTTATATATACATACTACTTAACTAGTTGTGCAATCGCATTAATTGCAACTAATGACAATCTAATATCATTGACTCTATATCGAGGGCATGTTAGAAGACTGTAAAATCAGATGAAAAATTGATGGATTTCTCCTAACTCTTTGATTTGTAAGCAAAAGATGCCACATATAATAACAACAGGTAAAAGGATAACGTTTCAATATCTTTGTCCCATATTGCTAAACATTCCAACAATAAATAAGAAATACTGACATTTTCACAGACAGTGAAGTACACGTAAAATAAAATGTACACATAACATAAACGTTTCAAAAAGTTAAAAAACCATAGTGAGTTCATACTCCAAAACTATTGAAAACTTATAAGTGAATTTTTAAACTTAAATAAGTTTTCCCTCATAAGAATGGAAGAATGAATACTAGGTTGAAAAACACTGTGTGGCAATCTATTCTATGTGCATCTTGTTTTGAAAATAGCTTCTTCCAAAACCAACATTCTAGGAGGTAGCTGAATAATATAAAATATACATTGGAGATTATTTTCAGCATTCCAAGATCCATTGGAGACACATAAACTCACATGGCCTACTAAAAAGTGTACAAAACAAACAAAAATAATCAAAATGCCTTCAAAAATAAGCTTCTAAAAATGCTAAATGGAATATTATGAGTACATCTACGGAACGGTAACCTGATACAGTTTCACGCCAAAATATCTAACCATAGTTTAGCAGACGACATTTAACGTTAAACAACCTGATTCAGGGCAGTTGGGAAGAGCCAGCCGTTTACAAAAGGCCGTCAAAGGCGTAGGAAGGGAGTACATAGAGTTATTGTCATTTATGTTGATACATTTACTAAGTTTCGATGGCTGTTTATTTCTGGTAGCCCAGCAGCTTCTCGGCCACGCCCAAGTAGTATACTGTCTGGGCAATACCGAACAGAGGGGCGATCACAATCATTCGGCAAGCTCCGCCCTTAAAGAACGCCAGCGGTCCTTCGTTCTTTAAGGTTTTCCTGTGAGAATATTACTAAAGATTAGTACAGGTAATAAATAATAATTTGTCAATAATTGCACTTTCACAACATTCTTCTACTTATTTAAGATTGAGCAGACTAAAATCAAAAATTTTCATGAAAGAGCATTAAAATCAGAAGTCAAAAAGGTGCATTAAATTCAAATAAGACAGAATGAAAGTTATGGTAGTTGCGCCGCCGGTCAGGGATAGAATTTGGTTAATATACCTTAACTTCACTACTACCCAGCTGATGATGACACTAATGTGTCGAAACATGTCCTGGTTACACCATTCAGAATTTTGAGCTGAATTGACGTAAGTAATATATTCTCACAATATTTATGTTCAGTCCACTATTAATATCTTTCTTGCAAAATGAAAACAAATTACAACAAATCAGAATGATCTATTTCTATACAATTTGTATCTATTTCTATGGTATTTTAATGTAAGTATGAAGCTCACTCTGAAATTGACTTTAAAATATATTAGCAACTTTGTTCACAGACGTTAACAAACTACTAACGACCTAATTGTCTGATGCTGCTTAGTATGTAGACCTGCAGATGGTATTGTTGTATTCATTTGTTTATTACGTAATAGCCTAGAGCTTAATAGTTTAGCACATAGAACATGTTATCTGACAAATTCATTCTTTTACAGCCTTCCAAGGTTGGACTTTGATTGGCGAATTTTGTTTTATTCAGTTTTGTTTTAGTACCAATATGTTTGAATAGTGTAAAATACAGTAGGCCTACACATAACAATACAACAATACTCCGTTTACAAAATTTAGGCGGTTACAGGGGAAGAAAAGAAATCTATCCCCTCCACTTGAACCTACCTTTAAAATAATATAGCTCAAATAGCTGAGGTTTTCCAAAGCATACATCAGCTACCCGCCGTATAAATTAAGCAAAATAGTAGTGGTGGACTTCCTCTCATACCACCTACATTTTGTGAGCGGAGTATAGTTTAGATGAATAAGTGAAAACAAAGGTATAACTTTAGAGTCGGCACTCACACAAAAGCGTCCATGATTCCGTTGTATCGGGGTCCAACTTCCACCTTGCTGATGGCTTGAAGTCGCGTCTTCACCACGTCAAAGGGGTTGACACACAGAGCTGCGAGAGAGCCAGCCGTACAACCAGAGAGGAAACTGCACCAGAACACTGCTTCTCCTGCAGTGAGGAAAAACTTGTATGAGCAAAAACTGATGGCATAGCAGGCTTACCTAAACTGGGATGGACTCCATGATGAACCAGACAAACTTTTCACTACAGTCAATGATTGGAATTCCTTTGCTACTGATGGTGTATCCAATCAACTTGGGTTTGAGTTAGCACAGAGAAGTAGGGTACAGAGTTCACATTCAATCGTACACTTAAGTAGTAGCACTAGTCGCTGGTGTCTAGACCAAAGCCCATCTCCAACCCCTAGCCCTGATTACTACACCTCTCACAGTGGAGGAAGATCATGTGCCCTGTGCAATAAGAATTTCCGCCCAGTGCTTGCCGCTCAGGCTCTTCCTTGCTCACTGGCTCGTCACAAGTATATTCCTGACACAACGTCCGTTTCTTCTGTACCTTACTTCTCTGTGGAGCCAGGTAGAAAGATGTATTCAGATCCAAAGGTGGCCAGGAAATTGTTCAGTGTTGCTAATAAGTATCCAACATCATTGTGTGTAAAAGGCAAACCCATATTATCTGCTTTTCAATCGAAGTATTTAGTAATCATAAAATAGAATAAATTTTGGAGATTGTTGGACAGATATTTTTTAAATGTAGAAATCTAACATCCAACAAACCAAAACTACTAACCATTTGCACAAAGAGTATAAATACAGTGTCTTGATCAGTATAAACTATTCCGGCCTCCAGAAAAAAAGCACACTCTTACCCAGCTGCATCCATCATCTTCATTGCGACAAAAAACAAATATAACATTTTTTTACCAAATAAAAATATAAAAACTCAAAGAAAATATGGTTACCTGAGCCATCGTTCTTGCGAGGTCCGAGGGAGTTGAGCCTGGCAAATAATGGGAAGTAGACAATGGAGAAAGAAACGTCTCTGAGCATCGTAGCTCCGATACCTCGGTACAGTCCAAAGATACCTTTAGTCCTCAGCAGTTCCAGGGCTAGCGAGGTGGCGGATACCTTCGGAACTGTCTTACCCTCTGCAAACAAATAAAAATTGGAATACAATTTTGGTATTTTGAAAAATGTTCGAATGTTTATAGAAGTTTAATTGAGAGATAAACAAACACTATAATCTAATTAAGCGTTGTAACTTGATTCTTTAGCGTTGTAACTTGATTCTTTAAATCAGTTAACAAATCAACTCACCCAGCTTAGCCGCAGCTGCAACTCTCCCGGCGTCCTGCATCTGAATCTTCAGCAGCTCCATAGGAGTTGTGATGATGATCTGACACAGTCCTGCACTACCTCCAGCTAACATCTCTCGTCCAAGGGGCAGCTTCCTGTCAGACGAGTATTAAATATTACTTTCACAGAGACATCTGTGTGGATGAGTACAGAGCTATTTACTACGACTGTGGTTCGATTTTGATGAAATCTGGCATGTAGGTCTACTACTATTCCATAATATTTCAAGAGGTTTTATTTTTTCATTTTTTTAAATTTTAATATTTAATGCCGATTTCCCCGTAAAACTCATAAAATAACGGAAAAATGCCTCTCCTCAGAGACCTATATTTTTTTAAGTAGGTGGCTTTGAACCCTGGTTTAGCGGATTGGCCTTAGTAGCATAAACCTATTAGTAATTTAACTTGAACCTATAGTTTCAAAACAGAAGTTCCGTGCTTTATATTTTGACCAGCCACATAAATGAAGAGTTTTAGGTCAAACTTAACTCAAATCTTGGTGAAATCTGTGAAAAATTACTTCTTACCTCTTACTAAAATAATTAAAACTACAATTTTTCGCTCTTTTATTCCTACATTATTTTACACAAAAGGTATTATTTTGAAAAATTACTGAAATTGAATAGTTTTTTTGGTAGTTTTGGTAATCAAAATGTTTGATGTAGTTTTAAAATTCACATATTTTACTATTTAGCCTTAATTTAATAAAAGTACTAATGAATTTTGATATGAAATATAAACCAATTTGGCCTAACTTTGAAAATTTAAAATGGAAGACAATGGTATGCTGAGCAAAACATTGATTAGTTACTTCAAACACCTTTGCCAACGGCAGCAACGGGATAACCTGTTGGAAAACTAAATTTATGGCGAGAAGAAAATGAACATGCACCGGTGTACGCAGTCATTCAGAACCAGGCTATTCTGAGAGATAGTCTATTTCTGAAGTTTTATGGGACCAGAGGTTTAAGTCCCTTGTCACCGTACTTTCACCAATCACTAATCTGAATTGTCATCGTCAGTTGAGAAAATAGTGTATAGCCTACTGCTTTCATAGCACCTAACTTAACTTGCTAACTCTATATTTTATTTAACTCTAACTCTGATTTTCTCATAAAAATAAGATAATCATTACTAAAAATGTATTGTACATTTTGGAATAGTTAAGCCTAGTTTTAATTATGTTTGGAAATATTCTTATTCTTAAAAGCCTAGTTGGCATAAATTCAGTTTCAACATGAGAGATAAAATTTTAGCTTGATTGTTAAAAAGTTTATTAAACCAATTGTTTTGTACACATAAAAACTGTTTATTATAGGTTATTGGTTCTATCCTCATTAGGACACATAGTATCGTCGCCTTGAACAATCCAACATTCCATGATATAAAAGGATTTTCATTTGGCTACAATTAACGACGCAATCTCACGACTGGCAAAAGATTGACGTTAGAAGAACAAAATTAGGGCGTGGAAGATTCCTTTAGAAAAAATATATTATAGATTAACATAAACACAAATTTACTGTCAAAATTTTTACGATTAAGAAGAATGAAATACATACCCATGGCCCGTTGAGAGGTGGTGTCGGAAAAAGTCGTTAGCCGCAAGCTTGATGGCTTTCTCTGGTGTGATAAGCAGAATGTTGACGGCAGATCCTCGGTACATACCAAAGTAGCCTTCCGCTCGGTAGGTCTTCTTGAAACAGTCCAACCTGAAGAGAATTTTTATCATAGTAAATTAGTTTGTCCAATTACAAGCTGGCGAAAAAAGGGTGTAGTAACATATAAATGAAGATGATTTAGACTGGGGTTCCAATTTGTCCCTGTTGAATGGAATAACAATCATGTGTAGTAGGGCAGAGCCATTCCACAACCGTTAGGGTACCTCCTGTATACAGGGTGTGTAGTAAGTAGGCTAAAGAGCCAAATTCCGGGAGATGGTTTTATGGGTAAAAATAAAGAGAATGGAAGTAAGACAATTTTCCAAAACAGCTTCGTTATCCACACATCTGCTATTTTGTATTTTTTACCACCTAAGGGGGTAAAATATTGTTCTATTACCACATATTGTTGAGATAAAAGTGGGCTGCGCGACCTAATGAAAATTTTTTTTAAGTTTCTCCGTAACCAATAACTGTACAAAAACACTTTGAAATACTAAATTATTTGTTTTTTTAATATCTTTAAAAACGTCTTAAGGAAAATTGATAAATTTTGTGTTTTAAGGGTAAAAAATGATAAAACCCATTTTTACCCTATAAAACCCACCGTTTAACCCCATTCCCATGGTTCGATCATGCTGGTTCCCGATCTCATTCAAGTTTATCCCGTCTTACACATTCAAACCAAATGTTATCAAAATTTGACAAAAATTACTCAAGTTACTAAAAGCTTCAATAATTATTATTATTTCTGAATAAAACAAACAAAATCCTAATTGCGTGCTCAAATATATTTAAAAAGTTTTGTATGGGGTTTAAAACACTTAAACTCTAAACATACAGAAAAAGTGTGCATGGTAGGTACAGTGTGACATAGCATGGAAGGAGTGGATTGTAAATAGAAGCACATAAAACATGCAAATGTATTCACTCCAGCTCAATTTATGTGGCCAAGTCTGGTTTAAAAGCCTCATCACTATCAAAGATTTGAACTTAGTTTGTGTGTTTTAAAAAGAAAAGAAATTAATGAGCCTCTGGCAGATTGTGTCTATTCTTTCTTAGTTTTGGATTGTTTGATAGTCTTTAAAATAAAAAATGGTGCAGTTAGCAAACATTTTATTTTTTATTTTTTCTTTGCTAAACAGTTGGCACATTTTGCAGAAATCAATAATATAGCAGCACATTCGTAGTTGGCTCAATTCAACTACATTTATTTTTGTTGAATTTTCGTCTTAAGAAGATGTTAGATGTTGAGTCAGCGAAAAATACTTGCTGACATTTCATATGTGATGTAGCCATTCATATTCAGGTCAAGCAAAAGATTAGTTGGTCAGCGAGTAATTTCTCCAGTTCAACAATACAGTCCTCGTCCAAAGAGAAAGATTCGACCACCTACTTTGTTGATGAAAACCAAATCTTTCTCTTTGCGTTTATTTTTTACAAAGATTTGTTGAAGCTTTTAAAACATGGGATTTGGATTATCTACTTCTATAAGGATTGTAGTCAAGTCAAAATACTGAATTACGAAACTTACATTGACGTGTACATCCGTTCTCCATTTGGGCCGACAGTCTGGTTTTGCAGACGAGTTTTGACTAGATCCAGGGGAAAGACACATGACACTCCGATTATTCCTGCAATCCCACCGTTGACAATTTTTGGAACAAGTCTAGAAAGAGAATTATAGAAATTATTGTAACAAGTTAAAAATGAAAAAAGAACTACAGGTTAGCAAATGTGGGATGTATACAACGTTCTTAAATTAATCTCTAAAGTTAAATAACATTCAAATAGCCAATATAATATTTATTATGTTGCAAAAGTATACACATTATTAATATCCACTTACCATTCATCGTCGGTTATTCCTACTGATAATTTGCGGAAGAAAATTGTATATGCCTACCTTTATGAGGTATAATGTACCTACAAGTTATAGATTATGAAAACAATGAAGGTAATCAAACGTGGCATAGGTACAAGGAAAGTTCTTAATTCTTATCTGTTTTCTAAACAAAGTTCTTCAACCAAGTATAATGTTTGAAAAAATGTGCTACTAAATGAAAGAGGTAATCATTATGCTACTTATTTTCGACATCATGGTGGAAATTATAAACAAATTTTTTTTCATACCTACAACAATTAAAATAGTTAGCCTGTGAACTTTAAAAACACAAAAGCCAAACTAACATAAAACCTACATCCTACAAAAGTGTGAAGTTGTTATCTTGACTATTTGTTGACAATCATGACATCTAAAACTGCTGTCTAGAATGATAATACAATAGCTGACACAAACAACATATACTGGAGACCATTAACTAAGCATTTTATTCATCAACTAATTAATGTTGAGCCATAGATTAAAAACACTCCCATAGATGCATCTTATGGATTTGCTGAGACAAATTAAAAGTATGCATTTCTGTCAAGTATTTGTATAGTATTGTGATACTTTCTATTTAATTGTTGATTATTGCAATGAAATAAAACAATCTAAGGGCACAACTTTTTATCTCTGGTATTACTAACAAAGATTATAAAATGCACTTTTAAGTTTGCCTACACTAAAGAATATTTATTTGACATCAACACATTCAAGCTTAACTGGATTGACACATTGAATGAGGCTCCAGATTTTACATTGTGATGATAAATCTACCTGGAGTGTCCAAAGTTAGTTGTTAAGTTAATGGATCCTGTCAGTACGGTAACTTAACTTTATTTAAGCAAGTTAAATGAATAATGCATACAAAACCAGACGGGAATGGAACAGTGTGAGACTTAAAACTACTAAAACTCTTAGATCAGACTCGAAGCCTTATCAGATGACCCAAAGCCTGGGCAGTGTTATTTGTCTTCTAACAGAACACAGAACTTACTTGGAGTAAAGTTAAATGAATATACAGGGTGAAAAAAGTCCCGGGGCGGTTAAATTTTTCTAATAATACATAATAAAGATGGAGCTACAAAATTTGGTACACAGTTACTGAGTATTAAAATCGTTCAACACATTATTCGGTGATACCCCTTTAAAGAGACGGCCTTCTAGGAGGCGAATGAAATCTTAAAGTAAGCATAGGTTGATATAAACATCAAATTCAAGGTTTTTACTAGTAGAATACAATACCGCAAATTTGTACTCGAACGGAAATCCGAGTAAAAAATGGCAGCCCAACAAAGATTTCTTAAATCTTCTGAATTTTAATAAATAAATCTGTATCTTTCCATACAATCAGATAAATTAATTCTTTGAGACAGCGATGCACACTTGTATGAATATTATAAGCTGAATATGAATGCAATGTGTAGGTAAATTGTAGAATGGATTGAGATCTGTGTAGCTTTGTTACTGATAAGATCAGCTGTTTCATTGGTCAGGAGCTAAAGGCCTCGCCACCCTACAATAACTTGAAGCAGCCCAAACTGACCTGCAGGACAATTACCGGCTGGTCCCGCATGATCCTTTTACAATCCTATTAGCGACGCTTCCGTGAACGCAATAGTTCAATATTAACTTTAATAAAATTATAATCTCATATAGGCCCTATTATTTACTTGTTTACATTAAGTACCTGGGGACCGAGCCATGGCTCGGTAATAAGCAATATAAAGGAAATTAACGTTTTATTTACAACTAATTTTGGCTTTTATTATTTAAGTTTCAGTGGATTTCAATTTATTATGATGGAAATTTTAACCTTGCAATCCTCAAGACATTAATTTATTTTACAGTTGATGAAAAATCACTGTTTACAATGGCCTACACTTGCATAAACATTTTTTTGGCATTTTGTTTAAATTAAAACAGCTGATTACTTTGGGGAAGTTTTGGTAGGAGAGCCAAGTTAAGTAATCAGTATTTAATCGGAACTTGGAACAATTTTCACCTATATCGAGTTATCTTCAGTGTAATTTTTGCTCAATAGTAACAACTTATGTTTTTCCTTTTGTGCTGTATTTTCTAATTTGCTAGTATACTGTGGGTGAATAGCTTATTAACTCATGTTACAACTTATAAGTTTTTGTTTACGTTTTCCTAGTTATTTTGTTCAATCAACATGGTTACTTAGCAACCCATAAGGCCAATGTTAAAAAGTGTTGACTTTAAATTTCATTTTTTACGTAATTAGATTTTTGTAGGCAGTTTTAACTGCATTAAACACGTTTTTAGGCCAGAAATAAATTATTTACATCATTTAAAGGAAATCGTTGAAGCTTTCTGAGATCTTTGTGCAAGCAAGCATACAAGCATATAAACAAGCAAACATTGCTCATATAAGAGTAAGGATAGGATAACATAAATTTAACAAATATTTCTGTTTTTGTCCCATCTAATACGGACAATGTGTATGGTCTAGGTATACTTAAGTTACAGGGTAGGCTATTTTGTTTATACAGTAGCACAAAAACCGCAAAAATTGTCCATTTTAGATGGGACAAACACAGAAATAATTTTTATATTTATGTTATTCATGTAAACAAGTAAATTAATAAATCAGATTATAATTTTATTAGGCCTAATGTTAATATTGAGCGATGGCGTTCAGGGAAGCGTCATACAGGGAAGGATTCTAAAAGAGTCGTGCGGGACAAGTCTGTAATTGCCCTAAACAAACAGTTAAGTCAGCTGAAAGCTATTAACATTAATACACCTGTTTTAAGACAGTACAGTTGGGCTACCTCAAGTCAGGGTGGCGAGGCCTATAGGATGGAGACAATTTTGTTTAAAGATGAAGCACTTTCCACAATTTCTTTTGACTAAGAGGAATTAAGTAAAAAGTTATATAACACATGTGCCATTTGCTAAGTGAAATTAAACTTGACTTTTAATTAAAATATTTATTCATTGCCTTTTATTTTTTCCACATCAAACAGTATCACTGGATGAAAACGTAAAAAAAACTCATGAACCACTTGGGTGAAATCATTCTTTTTGCAATCATTGAAGTAAGTTTTATATGTTGAACAGCCTTCAACATTACATAACTTCAAAGACAGTCGGGCAGGCATGTGAGTAATTTGCAAGAGATAAAGTGTAATCTAGTGAAATAATGATTCTTGGTGCTCATTGAGTGAACTATCTGCTACTTAGAGTAATCTCCATACAGATAATCAATGAAAAGAACTATTCATTTAAGAAGCACTTTAAGTTCTTTTAATAGTAGAAAATTTTCTTACAAGTACGTTCTTAAAAACAGTTACCTATCATTAATATGCACAAAGAGGTTAAATTTACTCAAATTAAAATTCCTGAGGACTATGAATTTATTTGTGAGATATGCTTACGGAAAGAAAAACATAATAACAACTATGTTGTCGATGCGCCGTTTCTGTGTAAATTGTTGTACAGTTCATTGACTAAAATCTTCACAATTATACAAAAAATATATAACGTAAAAGCCCTTTCATTTATGTTACTAATTTAGTAAAATCATTTTTTAAACATTCCAAGTAGCCTAAATTGACAAGAATAATTAATTGACTTGTGTAGTGGGCAAATGTATTTGGAGTTTAATAGTACGTAAATTTAAGAGCAAGAGAAAAACAGTTGATTTTTTCCCTCAATCTAATAGCTTGAGGAATATCAGTTTTGATTGAAAAAATCTATTTTTTAAAGGAAAGATGGATATTAGATTGTTACTACTGTAATGATAACTCAACAAAACATTTTTTTTTGTACAGAACAGTGTTAAAAAGATTGTTGTAGCCTTGAAGCAATTTCTAGACAATTGTATGCATCCAATTTGACACTGCTTCAGGATCAATAAGTGACAAATTATGATTGTTGCGAATCAACTGGTTAGTGTTGAAGCTAAACTTCAACCGTTATGAGTTCATAGCTAGCCCATTAAAACATTTGTATGACAAGATTTGAATAGGAATAATTAGATGTGACGTAACGAGTCTAATTGAACTACAAGGCAATGAATATTCATCATATGTTTCAATTATACTACACAATCTAATGTACAGTAGGCTACAGTATCTAAAACATTTACCACCTTTTCCTTAAACCCAATTGAACAATAAAATATTTTATTGGTGTCCTACCTTTCCTACTAAATTAGTTTACATGGGTACCTTATAAACCTTTGAGAAACTTAAGTTTTATTAAGTAAAATATCTGGCTGAATTTTGTATATGCTTTTTGGCGTACCGGTAGCTTATTTTAACAATCTCATCCTTAGGATCTGTTCTCCCAATAAAATTGTTTATGTTCTTATAGTCCTTCCACAAGCAATTCACGGTGGTAGTGATTTTTCATATTTATTATACCTAGACATTTGGTTTTCTATGTGATGGAGAAAACATGTAACTGAAATACTGAAAGCAAAATGTGAAATCAAACCTTTTGCTATTTTGCAATTATTTTGTTTATGGTGAACCAATACAAAAAATCCAATCATTAAAATATTACTAAAAAAATATTCCTCGTATTTTATACTCTTTGCCATCAGTACTTATTTCCTCTATATTGAAATTTTCATGTAAATTTTAATTTAACATCTGTTCCATTCATTGTTTTTATGTTGAAATGGTTTCACAGCACAAGTTATCTTACACCTTGATTTAAAAAATGTCATGCAAAAGTAATACACAGTGTCAAACTAACTAAATTGGGAATTTCTCTCCAATAAGGTAAATAGTTTAAAAATTAAGTAGAATAATGGCTGCACTTTCCTTTAGGTCCTACACTCATTCAAATGAAAATATTGATTATTCGATTGTTTCATTCGAATGAGTGTAGGACCTAAAGTAAAGTGCAGCCAGAATAATAATTAAAACTAAAGTAAAGTATAATAACATTATAAAGGAAGTAAAAATTTACACAAGATAATTTTTGCTATTTACTACACAGCTTTTTAAAAAAGCTTAATATAAACTAACTTATGGTCAAAAATTAGGTCACTGATAACGCTATCAATACTATAACAACAAAATGCGGTCAAGAATGTAAACAAACACTAGGTGCTGTTCATAACCACTAAAATGGATATCTAAAGATAGCGTTGGCTGCCTTGGACAATATCCATAAAGTCGGACATTCAGGGGACACAATGTTGTATCAGTGCATTCACTGTTAACATTTCATAAATACTTACGAAAACTTTTGCGGAGGGATTGCAGAGATGGTAACGGTTTCATTCTTTGGTGCTTGTGACCTGAAACCAGGAATTGAATTACTAATCTAGGATAAAACCCTTGTGTTAATAAACAACATAATGACATATTTGAAATAGGTATTTCTAATGGTTGTAGAACACTTAACGTGCTACGGAGTAGCTACAATAGATTGAATTCTAGAGACTCAAACCCAAAAGAATTTTCTGTAGAGAATTGTTGGGTCGCCGATTAAACTCCTGGTGCATGCCAACTATCATCAATTCAGCTTTTTGTCTTGAAAAGTTGCCAGTAAACAAAAAGATTTGTTCAGAGCGTAGAACAGAAGCTCCTCTCAAAATTATCAGGGAACACTTTTCGATTGTTTGGCATTTTTAAGTGTGTTGTGACCACAATAAAGAAATTAAATAATATTTTTCTACAATACACAAAAATAAAGATGTTTATTATATTTATTAACCATAAAATGAATCTTAATTCTCTCACTTGGATTGTATCTGCACTGCCAGAAATCTATTCAGATAAATTTTAGTTACTAAATAGAAGAAAATAATTAAGGCAAATAGCAGATATTAATTCTTATGACAAAAAGAAGTTGAGTGCAACATCAAGGTTACTGAAATGCTTGTAATATTTAGTTACATATTTAGGAGTTAAAATAGTCAAATTAGTAATTACCTATAAGGGAAGTACACCCATGAAAAAATAGTTTTAGCATTGAATTTGCAAAAAAATTAACAGTTAGTAAATAGGTATGGACTTTGCATAAATTGTTTCTGAGCAATGAGTTGGCTAACACGATTTGGTGTTAAAGCTACATTGGCCGTTTAAAGCTGGTAGTATGAATAAGTTTTTACACAAAAAATCAGGTTATCTTCACAGAAGGAAAGTTTTTTGGCATGTCAACTAGCAAAATGTCTCACTTGCATAAATCTTTTCATCTCAACTTAGACAATAGCTCTAGGCTGAGAGCGTGCTTCACAAAGGAGTCACAATCAACCTCGTTATAAAGTGTTATTGTGCCAGGGTTTGTTGGTATAATACAGTGTCCTTGCTAATTTTGTTACACCATGCTTGAATAAAAAAAAAATAGCCTAATAACTCTATGTATTTTTTTAGTTTTTATATTTGATTATATCGAAAGGTAGGATGGGTGGGCCCAAAAAATTCTGGAAAACACTTTTGTTGTGTTAAACAGGAATCTTGATATGTCGTCAGGCTTGAGGAATGACTGTAGGTAAAGGAATAAATTTTGAAAAACATGTGGAGGAAATACACACAAAAATGAAAGGAGTCTACATTAAATTATCAGGACATGCTAGACGAAAATAGAGGCAGCATGACAGGGAAGCATTTGATGACACTGTACAGAGGGTGTTGGGCCAGCAATGCTTTACGGATGCGAGTTCTAGGGTAAGGATGCTAGAAAGAAAAGATTTAAAAGGAAACTTTTGAGTACGGGTACCTATGCAAAGAAGAGTTTTGTTGAAAGTAGGAAAACAACAAAGTATCGCATGAGTGGCAAATGCGTGGGGAGCAGATGAAAAAGAAGGCAGAACGTTCGGATATATGCCAAACAGCTTCAGAAGAACCAAGGATACATACAGGCTTTTTAATTGAAAAAAAGAAACAAACAAAACAAAGAAAAAAAGGAATGAAAAATTTTCTCATTAAGGGAGAGGAAAGACTAGTTTTTTTATTTATAATTATGAAAAATCTACCAGAATTTTTGGTAGACCCGGGCCTACCTGCCTTCTGGAGCTGTCCCTGGGAAACAGCCTGGCAAATAAGTCCCAGACTTCAGCCAGAGGTGGTGGTGGGAACGAAGGGGTTTGCTTGATCATTTAGGTTATCATCAATTAATCAAAAGAAAATCTTTTACTGACTTAAGAAAAAAAAAGAAAAAAGAAAAAAACAGCATAAACTGCACAGGGTAAACTGCAAACTCAATTAGGTCTATTACCATCACCAACTTTAACAACAAAACCAAGAAACCAGAAAACGCCAAATAAAAACGTGTGTCAAGTTTGCTAGTTCCCAATTAAATTATAATATAATGTTAACTGTCTATAATTATATACCGGTAATCAGGGAAATTAACCACTACAGCTCGGGTCTGACTTAGGGGAGGTACGAATGAGGCATTAGTTCAAAATTTCTCCGTGAACTGCGCTGTAGTAGAGAGCACTTTGGCAATTAAGGTTTACTAATACTAATCGCAAAAATAGTTCTGTTCATAAAATATAATTATAAATGCCTCAAATTCAATTTTATAATTTTTTAAATATAAAATTTAACTATCATAACCTAACCGAACTAACCAAACTTGCTGATAATGAAAAAATCTTGGACAAAAAGTTAGTGTTACCAGCGGGATTCGAACCCGGGACCTTCAGCATATCAGCCTGGCACCCTGACCACTAGACCACCGAGGCCGATGACCACTGACCGTATTGTTACGGTAATGGCGTTCCTTCAGCTAATAAGATGTCCACAGCTGTCATCGTAGCCTCTTCTATACCTCCCCTGAGTAAATACCCTACAGCTCAACTCTGCTATATTTCACCAACATCAGTATCAGGTGATAGAATTTTTACAAACAAATTATTCTAGGATCTCACATGCCATAAGGAGAAAAATAATGACAATAGATGGTGCCTAACTTATGAAGGATAACAAATTGGTTGAAAATAACAACTTATGGTACCTTTACCTACGGTAGGCTATTTCACCTGTTGACAGGTAAAAAACTACTATTCTTTAATGAACACTGTAGGCCTACTAATATGAATTAAACTTACAGTATGTAACTATAAGCTACTTGTAACAAAGTTTGAATGGCATCCAAGTTTCATTGAGTGTTTTACCGGTACCGTAATTGTTTTGCCAAGGTGATTATTTTAATTGCATTAGACTACAAAAGAAATACCTGTGTCCCACATTAGTGGACCTCCTTACCTACCTAACGGTTATTACTAGTCGGGTGCCAAACAATGAGCAAGGTTCAATTGATATTGCCGTTTGTTTGTAAACAAAAACTTAACAATATTCAGTTTCTAGTGAAAATTATGAGTTATGCCTAGTTTAATCTTAAAAAAAACTTTAGGCTATACAATATTGGAATCTGAATTTATTTTTTAAATACCGTACTTACAGAAATAAAGTAGGCCTACCTAGCTTGAATTTTTTTGCATGATTTAGCTAGGCCAATTATTTCTTTTGGCAAATATTATGCCTAGCTTTTAAGAAATATTAGTTTTTAATTGTCCCATATCAATGACTGGCACTTAATTGAAAGTATTGAGCCAAACAAATGTTTTACTAAAGTGGTACATAAATACTGTTGTAAATTTTTGAATTTTTTGTCTAATAAATCAAATGATAAATAACTTTAGCTACGCGAACAAACTATACATGGGGTTTTAATAAAAGAATTTAAATGAACAAAATTATAACTTGATTTTGAAATCAGTAAAAATTTAAAAACCCTATGCAGTTTTGTGACATCCTTAGACCATGCAACTGTCGTATGTAGACTTTGACAAACAAATTCTAACGTGCCTAACTCTAAGGATGTTGCCTCTAAAGAAAAAAATAGACCTGGAGAGAGTGGTCTGTAGATGAAAATTATTGAGATAAATCGTAGCTAGAGATATTCTTCCAGATGATAACTTTTTAACTTGATTAGAGCCAGAGCAGTCTAGTAGAGTACAACCAAAGTAATATTTTATCGTTCAAGCATTTATAGTGAACCATAAGGCAATGGCTAAAAAAATGGTGGTATTACAGTAGACTCCCTCTTATCCGGGCACCATTTAACCGGACATCGGTTTATCCGGACTACACTCGGCGGAAATGACATCTCTTTAACCGGACAATTTTTATTATCAGCTCATTGGTTTAACCGTACTAGATTGGCAGGAAGTGGGCAGTACTGAAACGACTGTTCTCGTAGGAAATATTTAAGACCAGTGATCATGTGTAAATACAATGCTCTCCTAAATTTAAGTCGAATATCACAGTAAACAGTCAGTTTTAACGAGTTTTTGGGGACGTCGGTTTAACCGGAAAACCCGTTATCCGGACTGGCCTCGGTCCCGAGGAGTCCGGATAAGAGGGCGTCTACTGTAATCGATTTAGACCTTTAGTGCCAACCTTCATAACAGAGAAAGTACCGGTACCTACACTGTATTACCCAGAACAGAATTTAATTCCAAATAACTTTGCACAACTTAATTACAATAACCTATCAACAGTTATGAAACTAAAAAGATCCCAAACTAAAGAAAATTAGAATTAAAAATATACTTATTTTCTAAAAAAAAGATTCCCAAGCCTAAATAGTTTATAAACGTTGCCTTTTAAACCATGTAAGTTATCTTATTGTAAATTTTGCAATTTTAACTAACATAACAGTTTGGGTGCATAACTTAAAACACAATCAGTCTAGAAGTGTAAACTAAGGCTTTAACTAACACAAAAGTGTAGTAAAAGGGACAACACTCAAATTTATAAAGTAAGCCCACAGCAAATTAACTTAACCTACAGATTTTAACAGATATCAGAGGACCTGAAAATTCGGTTCTTCAAATTAAATATATACCTACATTTAAACTTCAAAAATGTTTACAGGCGTTTGAATCAATAGGAAACTGTCTTGACAGATTGAATATCTAAAAATACACGATCGACTGCACTATCTAGATAGATTTCTATGCAAACCAGCAAGCAGCAGCGCTCTAGCAGACCGCTGACACAGGGAAAAACAACAAATCAACAAAAGTGACGAGCGAGGAGCGAACAGAACAGACAATCCATAGCCAGCTGTTAGGCAAGAGTGCCAACATAGAAACCAAAATTCAGAACAATGTTCTTTATTTGTAAGCATTGACATGTATTATGTATTTTACTGTTATTAAGTAAGCCAGTTACAAATTAATTGTCACTCTAAAAGTTAAGGGGGAAATACTTTCAGTGACGACTGACGACGGTTTGTTTCGTGGAGCGTTCTACCATAGACAAAATAAATAAATATTTCATTCTTTTGTCTATGGTACAAATTTAACATAGATACTAAATTAAAATTAATTCATTGTACTCTTTTACCTGATGATATATATAAAACCAATAGTGGCATGTAGCTTTCAAAGAGGCGTGGCAGTATTTGGCGATATATTTCATGCGTTTCACCTTGGCTTTTGCGTTTAGGTTTTTCGTCTGACACGTTCCAATGATGGTACAAAAAATTATGTTGGCAAGGAAGCTTAAAAATTATACAACTCCCCTTGGCGTTTTTCAAAGAAATTAATTATCTTAGGGGCATATTTCACAAGTCAAAATAAAGGAGAAATCATACAATTAATTTTCTAAGTGTTTTTCTTTCGGAAAATTTCCCATATGAGGAATAAACGAATTAGCTATTACGGTATCATGGTGGTCTCATGGTGAAACCTGGACCTAGGACGGATTTATTTTTTTTCGTTTTGAGGTCCCCAAAGGTAAAAAATGCCATTCGTTAAAATTCATATATAACCCTTAGTCTGAAAAGAGGTTTGAAGCATTTGCTTAGTCTGTTAGCGCAATACTGTTTAGCAAATACTCATACGCTACTTTAGCAAAAATGATCAGATTTTGATGAAATTTGGTATAAACGTGTAAACCTACAGTGTACATTTATTCAAACGAGTTCGCAAACCAGCTTGATGGGAGTGTGGTAATGGTGTTTAATGGGGAGGGGCGAAATTGGGCGTATAAATACAATTAAGAATTTCTTTTCAAAGTATATTTTAGAGTTTAAAAGTAAACTGATTTAGTTTGCTTGTTTATGAAAATGTACCTATATCAAATTTTGGAAAGTTTATTTGTTTCATATGTATACCAGGGTGAGGCAGTGAGAGCACCCGAATTTTCTTTCATTGTCACACAATAAGTATAGCAGCAACCAGCAATGAATGAACAGCTGTGCTTATAACATCAATTTAACTAGGCTATGCCATTTTAGTAAATATTATGCCTGAGGCTATTAACACTGAGATGTTGATTTGGAAACCTATTTTAAAACGTTTTTTTTTTTAATAGTGATTATTGTGCAAAAACCCAGAGATTGTTTGGACCACATTCCATCCTTGGTCAACATGGCGCTGTTCCAGATTGGAAACAATGGTGAACTGGGTAAAATTATTAATGATAAACGCTTAAACCTTAAAATAATCGGTGGGTGTCCCAAAACTCTTTGTACACCAGCAAATGTTGAAAGAGTGCGAGTTGCAGTAAGTCAAAGTCCAAAGAGATTTGCCAGGAAGCTTTTGTTGTTGAAAGCTTGGCTGCACTTTACTTGACGTCCTACACTCATTCGATTGTTTTTTTCGATTCGATATTTTAGTTCGATTGTTTCATTCGATATATCGTTTGGTTAGTTAGGTTAGGTTAACCTTACCTAACTAACCAAACGATATATCGAATGAAGCAATCGATTAATCGATATATCGATCGATATTTTCATTCGAATGAGTGTAGGACGTCAAGTAAAGTGCAGCCGAAAGCTTTACTTGGCTCATTTTTTTGAGGAGGGGGGTTATTCTAATGATACTTGAAGTTAGAGGTTTTTCAAAGTCACCCCATAGATTTGCTTGAACCGAAGCTAAGAATTGTCCAAAAACTAAAGTGATCCCTGAAGAAATGCTAGAGGAGTGTTTGATGGAGTTTTCAAGTGACTAAAAAGGAATGTCAAGTAGGACAAGGACGTCAATTGCAGGATTTTGTTTTCAAGAAATTGAAAAAAGACTCTGTTAAGTTGAAATGGCAAAAGATAAGCTGTGTTTTTATGTGCTATTTATATCCAAAGGGTTAATATTATTGAGTTTGTACTACTTATAAATTGGAATGCTTTCATTTTCCCACCCTGTATTAACATTTCACAAAAAAACTACAAAACTGGCTAACAATAATTTTTACATGTAATTTTGATTAGGCCTACTTAGTCCATTTTTATCTCGGTTTTCAATAATTAAACATATATAATTATTAAAATAATAATAATTAGTTTTTAACTTATTTAAAAAGTTTATAATCTGATACAAGTACGAAGATTTTCTATTGTAAACACTCTTTTTACAATATTATACATGTATATATGTGATTTTAGGTGACGCAGTGTGAGCCTAATAAGGGCCAATGGTCAATATCAAACGACGAATAAATATAGTGACTCCAGGAGATTTCGAGATTATACATATGAAAAGTTAATTCTAAGTGTTTGGGAATCGTAAGTACTTTAATACATATATAGTCTTTAATAAATACCGATGGTCGCATAAAATAATTCCAATTGTACATATTTAGGAGAGTTAGATATTTTTTTTTTACCAGACATTGACAATGTGAATGTGACACCTAATTTCGATTCAGGGTCAAAAACAATTCAAAATGAATTGTTGAATTTATATTTGGCAATACCCTGAGAACATTTTTGAACGTCCAACGTCGATGATGCTCTCTACCATAGGTGGCTGTGTCTCTACTCATGTCTGAGCAATGTCTATATCTACTCGACGTCAACTACGTCTATAGCAGGCAACGAACTACGTCGTGTTCTATAGCTACAACTTTAAATCTCCAAAACCTTATCTCAATTCCCTAGTGAAAAAAATCCAGTTACTGGCCAGGTTCTGGCCCAGGTTTCAGAATTAGCAGGAACCTGGGCCAGAACCAGAACCTGGCCAGTACTGTTCCAGAACCTGGCCAGTACTGTTCCAGAACCTGGCCAGTACTGTTCCAGAACCTGGCCAGTACTGTTCCAGAACCTGGCCAATACTGGTCCAGAACCTGGCCAGTACTGTTCCAGAACCTGGCCAGTACTGTTCCAGAACCTGGCCAGTACTGGTCCAGAACCTGGCCAGTACTGGTCCAGAACCTGGCCAGTACTGTTCCAGAACCTGGCCAGTGCTGTCCCAGAACCTGGCCAGTACTGGTCCAGAACCTGGCCAGTACTGGTTCAGAACCTGGCAAGTACTGTTCCAGAACCTGACCAGTACTGGTCCAGAACCTGGCCAGTACTGGTTCAGAACCTGGCCAGTACTGTTCCAGAACCTGGCCAGTACTGTTCCAGAATGTATTGGTTGTTTGAGCTTGCGAAGACGACCCACTTTTACATGAAAATGATGTGAAAAACATAATTGTTTTAATATTTTATCACGTCTTTCACATTTTCTCAAATTAAAATACAGTAACGTTTTTGTATCCATAGTTTTTTGTATTTTATGTGAATAACTCGTTTAAAAGATTTAACTTTTTACATGAGGGAAAGGAATTTATCGATGGGTTTTCCAATGACGATTGTTTGTTATTTCCATTTATATAACTCTTTTGTAGAAAATGATTGTAAAGGGCCACTCTTGACTTACACTTTCCAATCAGACAAATACTCCCATTATCTTATCACAATTTCCACTCTTTTCTACTTACTGAAATCAATGGTAAGACTCATTAATTTTATATAGGCCTAAACCATGGTTATTGATGAGCATGATTACTTCTTACTGAAATGGTTGAGGACCCTATAAGTCTGCAGTTTATGTAAGATTAGGTACTCAATTACAATAGACATTGTTATAATAAAAAAAAAACTTATTAGTTATTTCCGTGCTATTCAAACCGTCAAACAAAATGAAAATAACCAAATACATATTAGTCTAATATTAACATGAATCTCAATCATACCTATTATCAGACAATTTTACGGATTGTTACACAATTTGTAATTGAGGTTAATTAACTTTTTAAAATATAACAATATTGATCGTTAAATTAACTAATTTCTATTGAAACTGTTTGTAAAGATGGCTTTAGGCCAGCATTTTAGGGTTTTTTATGTAGGCCTATAAATCTTAGGCCTACCTTAGTGACAAAATCAAAAGACAATGCACGATTTAACACAGGATTATTAGGTCTACTAGCTCCTTTGTTGGTAAAAAGAATTATTATTTGTGAATTTTCTTCTATTTTAGTCAGCAAGGTAATACTGCTGTTAAATTGATCATCCATTACAAAATATTTAATTTTGTTAATGTTTATCTATAGGTATTTGAAAAATTACCTCATTAGCAAATGTGTCCCAGGCGTTGATCAATATTCAAAATCCTAGCATGACCTTACCCAACCTACATTTAATTTTATCTCTCCCTCAAAATATTTGTTTTTCAACTAGATGCTGATTTGAATTAAATTTGGATGAACAATACTGATTTACAACTTTGCCTATTCTTTAGAAAAGCTCATTGCCAAACGTAAGAAAAATTCCCTTTGGTAAAAATACCCGTTCTTAAAACTGATCTAGCTAAAGAACTCAGTGGAAACATACCATATTTGAGGCACGTTATAGGTACTTTCGAGGGCACTCATGATTAGAGAGTGTTTCCGAATCGAAGGTCGGAAGTTTCAAGAAGACACTCCACACTCGGGGATCACGAACCGACTGCGAGCGCAGGTCTTGTCGTCTCGTGTATTTGCTCTTAGATAAGTCTAACAATTCCACTTAACACGTTTAAACCTAGGGTGATAACAAGAGAACTTGGACCTTCTTATCACGCCTGCATTGTAATTTTCAAACTGCGTTTAATTACGCAGCTTTTGATGTCCACTTTTCTTCTAACTATAAAGTTGCAGGGATTGAGTCTCGTTAATACGACTTTAAGGTGTCGGATTACTAAATACCCCCACCGCAGCAAACCTGCAGACTAAGCGAATG